CACGGTAATGTAGGCTGGAGTTCATTATCTGACGCATGCAGATACACACCAGGAACCTGGAAACTTACTGAATTACAAAAAAACATTTAAAAAACAAAGATGTTTCATTGATATATATACAAAAATGAATATTAGGAACTATATTGATCAAACATTATACTGGGCAAGTAAGAATTGTTTCTGGGCAAATGAAATGTGACATTTAAACTAGTGTCAAATGTGAATAGAATATCTTAGACTCCATTACCCTTCTGAAAGCATCTTCTTAATCCTCTCCTTCTCAGAGGCCAGGGTGATATCTGCACTCTGGCTGCGGAACAGCTTGTCCTCTGGTCCATTCACGCACATCACTGGCGGAGACTGGAGTTCATCCGAGAGGTCCTGAGAGACACGTCAGTAAATGGACTCTCCTGATGCCACATGGCATTTTCACAAACAAACAACTAACTCCTTATGGAGTGGAGAATCTCTTAAAAGTGTTAAGAAATCATTTTAAAGCAAAATTTGAACTAAAAGAAAAAGAAACCATTCAAGATGCAGTTTTTAGCTTGATGATTTAAACATGTACAATTTAATTGTTCCCAACAGTTTCTACACATAGAGCATAAATAAACTCACCTGCGAGAACTAGATGAGATCCAGGAAGTGGAAGAAATACAAAAAAAAATTCATTAATAATAAATACACCCTGCTTATTGTCATTAAAATAAATTCAGCTGAAAACATCAGTCAAGTGCCAACCTTAACATTAAAAATGATCTTTTTATTATTCATTTAAATACATTCAGACGACAAGTCAGTCTGCAACAGCCTGGAGACCCCCTACAAATATTTATATATATTAGTTCATCATGTATTTAGGAATATAAAGTGAAGTAATTCATTTTTAAATACATACATGTATTAGTAACTGTAATTTTTTATCATATAATGAGACATTCAAATGTTTAATGGCGCTTCCCAACATTTAATGGTATATTCAATATTTGAATTATCTATTAGATGAATAAATAAATGTTAAATCAACTTCGCAAATGGCACAATTATGTATTTCAGGATCTCAAAAATAACAATGCAGACTCTCCCCCACCCCCTCCAAAAACAACCATTTACTCTATATTTAATTATAAAAAGAGGCAAAAATTTATATTTGTTATTTTTGTTTATTAAGCTTTGTTTTAGTTCGTTTTTTATGTAGCCTTTCTGTTTATATTTACCATTATAACTTCATGTAACTGGGATTATTTGCATACAATTATTGGATGGTTTATATGCATACAATTGATCAATTGGATGTGGAATTCGGGTTGGTTGCGAAAAAAGAAAAGTACAAACTCAAGCATAAAAAGTTACAAAAAGATATTTGATTTAAGGAATGAAAAAACTTGAGTTGTACTTGAAAAACAGTCTGAGTGTTTCCACAGTAGCATCTGGGTTTGTTTAGTTCAGTAATTGTCATAATCTTGGCACCTTAGGTTGGGTTTGCTCTGCCCTGTGCTCATCAGCTCTAATCAGATCCACCTGTTCCTGCTTCTATTTAAGCCACGTGTTCCCAGCCATTGCTGCAGACTATTTGAGATTCTAGCGAGACTAATTTAGTGTACTCTGTTGTGTTTAGTTCTGCCTGTTCCTGACCTGTTTCTTCCCCCCGGACTTCTGGGTTTTGGCCGCCCCTGTTCTGCTCCGTTTGCCTGTCCTGTTTTCCAGACTGTTACCTGGATTCCGCTTGTTGTCAACCTTGGACTCCTGACCACAGCTTGGATTGATCCCTCTGGATCCTTTGGTTCCTCTGGATGTTGTTGCTGCTGCTGGTTGCTGCTCCTCTTCTCTCTTGGATTTCTGGTTCTGGTTTAGTAACAAGCTACGGAGTTCCGCTCCTCTGGACTTCACCCCTTCTTCTGGGCTCACACTGATCTTTGCCAGGTGGGTGACTTTCATGCACATTGACCTTCCCCGTTTCAGTTCTGAAGTCACTGACCTGAGTCTCCGTTTCTGCCAGGGAGCCCGCCCATGATGACCAGCAACACGTGGTTTTTTAATAAATGCTTGTTTCAAACTATTGTGTCTGCTTGAATTCTAGGTCCAACGTTGTAAGTCCTCTGACAGTCATACTGCCAGCAGATGGTGCCACATCCGTAAGGAGGTTTTATTTAGGCTCAAGAAGGACTATCAGAAGGAATATATAGGGTGCCTTTGATTGCAGAGGCTGCAGGACCCCGTCGACCTGGACTGGGTCCTTCTAGGTCCGTGAAAATAAGGAGGCTGGAAGAGTTTTGGCTACGGATTCAAACAGGTCTAGCCTTCTCCGGCTTTCACCGCCCATACGCTATGTTGCCTAGCAACTGTAACAGTTGACACACTAAGCAGACAAAGATTGAATAACGGACTTCTCACTACTGTTCTGGGTGCTAATAACATTTTCAAGGAATTCAGTAGCAGTACCATCATCTCTAATATCAGATTTAAAGTCCCCACACTGCAGAGCTATTAGAACCTGAGCTTAAATGTAAAATCATCTATTTACTCAGGGACGGATAAAACCTTTTAATAAACCAAACATTACCCCCCCAATCTGGCTCAATCATTTAAAACAACATTAATTTCAGATGGAGCTATTCACATATTTGTATTATATTAAACTGCAATTATAAATGTAAATCCCTTTATTGTCCTACATTGGGGAAATTCACAGTCTACATTTGACCCATCCCCTTAGGGAGTAGTGAGGTGCCATCGTGTGGCGCCTGGGGAGCAGTGTGGGTTTAAGGATTATGGTCAGGAGCCCGGAGTGGAGCCTGTGGGGATTGAACCTGGTCTTTGCAACCTTCTCATAACACCAGCGTACTGCTCTAACCAATAGGCCAACACTCCCCCATAATATTCACCACTGATCGGCACCATTTACCTTTATCCTCTGAGCACAGATCAGCTGGCTTGTTTGGACTCGCAATGAATCAAAAGATACCCAAGGCTACGTAGGAAACACCGGACCCGTCCTTCAAAACAGGCATAAAGAATGCTGCGTTTGTCAGCCACATAACGAGTCTTCCAATCCGAACAGGCCCCAGCGCTGCGCTATGACATAATCGGACGACCAGTCTGGCCTTCGGAGGACACAGCCGATTAATTTGAACTCCGCACTAGCCTTACTTTATCATAATCAAATGGATATTGGTCTTTTTGGCAAATAATGTGACTATATATATTTATAAGCAATTGAGCATAAAGCTACAGCTTGCTTCTGATATAAAAAGATGATGGGAGGGGGGGGGACATCAATAGAACAGCTGTCTTTTTTAGTTACATTTTTAAATAAAAACTGCTGGAATTAAATAAAAATACCAAAAAAAAAAAAAAAATCCCTTATGAATAATTGTGTCAATTAAATCAATCTTCCCATTATTTTAAAATATATTAATAATTTTTTTTTAAATAAGTACATGAATAATTCATTTATGAAATACTATGAAATATAATCATTATAATGTATATACCGTAATTTTCGGACTACAAGCTGCGACTTTTCCCCCATTTTTCGACCTTGCGGCTTATCTATGGACTTTTACAGCTAACGGCCACCAGGGTAATACCTATATCTATGAATTTTACCGTCCACCATGTTGACGTCACATTTGCTTCAACACACATGTACGGTAGCCGCGTGAAGCAGACTTCTACCGCGAGTGGTACGAGACAGAATGACAGCGAGAAAGACGGACATTAAACATAAAAAACCTGCGGCTTATAGTCCGGTGCGGCTTGTGTATATG